AAAGAACCGACCAAGTTGCTTCTTCAACTCTGTTATCCTCTCCATGTTCTTTCCCACAATCAACATATCGTCCACGTAGAGCAGCAAGATGATAAAATCATCATCGGAAAACTTCTGTACAAACACGCAATGATCGGAAGTCGTCTTCTTGTAGCCATGATCCCCCATAACTGACTCAAACTTCTTATACCATTGTCTCGGTGCTTGCTTCAACCCGTAAAGACTTTTCTTCAACCGACAAACATAATCTTCTTTGCCCTTCTCAACAAAGCCTTCAGGTTGTACCATGTAAATCTCTTCCTTCAAATCACCATGAAGGAAAGCCGTCTTCACATCCATTTGCTCAACCTCCAAGTCAAGACTAGATGCCAATCCCAGAACAACCCGTATGGATGACATCTTTACAACCGGCGAAAAAATCTCATCAAAATCAACTCCTTTCTTCTGACTGAAACCTTTTACCACCAGTCTAGCCTTGTATCGCGGATGCAGACTGTGCTCTTCATGAATCTCTTCATCCACAACAACTCCTTACAAGCTTCAGTTGCGGCAATGAACTCAGCTTCAGTGGTAGAAAGTGCAACGCATTTCTGTAACTTCGATTGCCATGACACTGCTCCACCCGCAAAAGTTACCAAGTAACCCGAAGTAGATTTCCTAGAATCTGTATCTCCCGCCATATCTGAATCTGTGTAACCAACCAACAAAGGTTTGTCACGTCCAAACATAAGTCTGAAACCGGAAGTACCTCGAAGATATCTCAGAATCCACTTCACTGCATTCCAATGTTCTCTTCCTGGATTAGAAAGAAACCGACTGACAATTCCAACGGCGTGAGCAATATCTGGTCTTGTACAAACCATAGCATACATCAAACTCCCCACTGCAGAGGCGTATGGAACTCGTCTCATGTCCTCCGTCTCTGAATCTGTACTCGGACTCTGCTGACTGCTTAATCTAAAGTGTGATGCAAGAGGTGAGCTCACAACTTTAGATTTCTCCATATGAAACTGTTGAAGTACTTTCTCAATGTACTTCTCCTGTGACAGATATAACTGCTTGTTACTTCTGTCCCGAACAATTCTTATCCCAAGAATCTGCTTCGCTTGTCCCAAATCCTTCATAGCAAAGAACCGACCAAGTTGCTTCTTCAACTCTGTTATCCTCTCCATGTTCTTGCCCACAATCAACATATCGTCCACGTAGAGCAGCAAGATGATAAAATCATCATCTTTTTATAAATAAAAACGTAAAACTCATAAAAAAACTTGTAAAATTGCGAAAAATTCTCAACATCGGTGAATCTTCGGTAGTTGACGACTCAACCCGATGGTCTTCACCAATACCATCATCAATTTGTACGGGAGCATCTGTACCAGGTGTATCACCTTGAACCTCACCTTCAGTAGAATCCTCAACTGTCGTCCGAGGAATCATCTCTGAGTCGATCAAACCACTGCTATTCTGAGTTGGATTTTTGCACTTCTGAATATCCCGAATAGTTTGATCCTCCATGAACACAGCGTCTCTGCTTCTGACGAGTTTCTTCTCAACTGGATCATAGAATCTGTATCCCATTTCATCCAGACCATATCCGATGAACACGCACTGTCTTGACTTCGCATCCAGCTTCGACCTCTCATCCTTGGGAATATGAACAAACGCTTTACACCCAAAAACCTTTAAATGACGGTAAGAAACATCCTTACCAGTCCAGACCTTCTCCGGAACATCACCATGTAACGGAGCACTAGGTGATAGGTTCAATACATGAACCACGGTGTTCAAAGCTTCTCCCCAAAAGGAATTCGACAGGCCTGATTGAGAAATCAAACAGCGAACCCTCTCCATGATCGTCCTGTTCATCCTCTCTGCCAACCCATTCAACTGTGGTGTCTTCGGCGGCGTCTTCTCATGTCTGATGCCTTGTTCACGACAATAGGCATCAAATGGTCCGGAGTATTCACCTCCATTATCGCTTCGGATACACTTAAACTTCTTTCCAGTCTGTCTTTCCACCAAGACCTGAAACTGCTTGAAAATGCCCAGAACTTGATCCTTAGTCCTCATCATATATGCCCACAATTTCCTTGAATGATCATCGATGAATGTGACAAAATATGATGC